CAATAAAACTTTATTTACAAAAACAGGCTGCACTGGTTTGCTACTCTTGCCCTACATGATTTACTGCTACACTCCCCTTCACTCCACTCCAGGCATGCTGAGCCCCCTTATTGTGCCTTGAATGCACCAGCAAGCTCCTGATTCAAGGCCTCTGCACTTGCTATTCCCTGCCTGGAAAGCTCTTCTTACCTCCAAGTCTTGTCTCAAATCTTTTCAATGGGAGTTTCCTTGGCCACACTATTTGGAATTGCAGTTGTCTCACTGCTTCTCCCTTCCTTCAATCTGATTTCCTATGCCAGGGCCCATTGCTTTCACAGTACTTTGAACCTTCTAATACACTATGTAATTGACTTCTTTATCATAATAATTTTTATAATCCACCACTCCTTCATCCATCACTAAACTATAAGATCCCTGAGGGCAGGGAAATTTTTGTCTGCTTTGTTCATTGATATATGCCTAATGCCTTAAACAGCGTCTGGCACATAGATGATAATCAGTATTTGTCAAATGACTAACTAAATGAGTATTTTTCAGAGTACACACATGGTGGCATGCAATTCTTTATCCCTCATTAAGTCAGGCCCTATATTTGAAAAGAAATATACAAACCAAATATAAAATGATAAAATCCCTCACTCAAAATGTCCAATTCTCAAATAGCTGTAAAGTTTCGCGTGTCATTTAACTCGTGTTGAAATTCGCAACCTTGAAAATGGCACTCTGACCTAAAACAAAGACTTTGACTCACTGGAAAATAAATTAATGTAGTCCACAGCTAGGAAACAGGTAACAAAAGAAAAAAATAGGTCTAACATAAAATGGATTCCTCATGTACACATTTAAACATAAAATTAAACAATATATACACATTGAAAACACTTCCAAGCATGCCTAAGAACTCATTTTCCAAAGTGGTCGTTTTTCTTGGCGATGAGAGAGACCAGTTTTCAAACAAACTGTAGGGGGAGCTCCAAACCACAGATTCACCTTCATGTTACTGGTTTTACAGTAGCCTTCTCAAGGAACAACTTCATTGGGTAATTCCAACTGCAGCTGAAAAGGAACATATATGCATGCATTCATAATGCACAAACGTAAAAGATCCCAGGGCATTTGCTACATTTCCCTTTATTTGAATCAGCTCATTCTATATCTTTTTCTTCCCAAGTATTTACTTTTTAAATCTGTCATTTTATATTCCCAATGGACTCATAGCAAAAATTTTAACAATGTGAACAATTTGTCTTTAGTACACATTCCATTTCTGCTTTCATAGCCCCTCCATTTCCAAGCAATGTTCAAGACAGGCTGTTTTAGTGTCTCAATGCATGGAGCTCACCTAGCCTCCCCTTGAGAATATTGCTCATCTTTTAAAGAATTTTTTCCTTCTGATGGCTGTAAACCTTCATCCACGAAGTCTTAAAACAACTGGAACTCAGTTTTTCTTTTCTTTTTTTTTTTTTTTTTTTTTTTTTTGAGACGGAGTCTCACTCTGTCGCCCAGGCTGGAGTACAATGGCACGATCTTGGCTTACTGCAACCTCTGCCTCCCGGGTTCAAGTGATTCTCCTGCCTCAGACTCCTGAGTAGCTGGAACTAGAGGTACCCACCACCACGCCCAGCTAATTTTGTATTTTTAGTAGAGACGGGTTTTCACTGTGTTAGCCAGGAAGGTCTTGATCTCCTGACCTTGTGATCCGCCTGCCTCAGCCTCCCAACGTGCTGGGATTGCAGGCATGAGCCACCATGCCCGGCCCAGTTTTTCTTTTTCATTGTGGTAGACCCATTCCAGACACAGACCCATGAGCATGATAGATATTCAATAAACACTTTCTCAATTAATAAAGGCATCTAGCCTTTAGACTTTCTGCTTCTAAGTGCCTTGCAGAGAAGAGTGGGTCCCAAAAGCATAACGGTCATTGTTTTTCATTGTTCATCATCATTGGAAAATAAATTATTTTCCTGTAAATCATTTTGGGGTCAGTGAGACAATATTTATCCCAACAATATTTGAACATTCAACAATGTTCATTGAGTGTCACATTTGGGTTCACAAGCCATTCTAGGCAGTGGGGATAGAGCTGTGAGCAAGGCAGAAAAAGATCTTAACTTTCTGGAAATTATATTCTAGTGGGGAATGAAAGACAATAAGCAACCCAAATCATATCAGACAGTGGTAAGCATTATCAAGACAATTAAAAAATTAAAATAGGACCAACTAATGAAGGATGACTGGGTGGCTCCTTAGAATGGGTGGTCAGAGAAGTTATCCTTGACGAAGTAACACGTAAACTGAGAAATGAATGATGAGGCAGAGCCAGCCAAGTGAAGATCAGGGTAAAAGCACCCCAGGAAAAGGAATCGGTCATGCAAAGGTCTTGAGTGGAAAAGCAGATGTTTGGATGGTATGGGTGGAGAGTATTAAGCAAAGAGATTGGGAGATGAAGTTAGAAAGGCAACAGGGGCCGAGACACTCTGTAATCCCCAGTAAGGAGTGTGAATGTTTAAGTGCCATAGGAATTCACTGAAGAGTTTTAAGCCCAGGAGTGATAGAATCTGATTTTTGCTTTAAAAAGATCATTGGTGACCAGGCATGGTGGCTCACACCTGTAATCCCAGCACTTTGGGAGCCTGAGGTGGGTGGATCGCTTGAGGTCAGGAGTTCAAGACCAGCATGGCCAACATGGCAAAACCCTGTCTCTACTAAAAAACACAAAAATTAGCCAAGTGTGGTGGCGAGCACCTATAATCCCAGCTACTCAGGAGGCTGAGGCAGGGAGAATTGCTTGAACCTGAGAGGCAGAGGTTGCAACCGAGATTGTGCCACTGCACTCCAGCCTGGGTGACAGAGCAAGACTCCATCTCAAAAAACAAAACAAAACAAAACAAAAAACAAAAAAAAATATTAGCTGCTGAAGAACGCATTGTAGTAGGTAAGAATTAATGCCCTTCCTGTACTAATGCAATTGTCCCTCTAGGTATGTCACTTAACACAAGAGTACCAATCTTGCAAGTGAAATACACCTGGAGTCTTCCTTGTTTTTATCCCCCACCCCCCAAACTCCTATGGGTCTGTGTTTTTCTTTTCCTTTTCCCTTTTTGCTTTTTAGCAATAGGAGTCTCACTATGTTGCCCAGGCTGGAATGTAGTGGCTATTCACAGATGAGATCATAGCACACCACAACCTGAAACTTCTGAGCTCAAGTGATCCTCCTGGGTTTTTTGTTTGGTTTGGTTTGTTTTTTTTTTTTTTTAGAGACAAGGTCTCACTCTGTTGCCCAGGCTGGAGAGCAGTGGTGCAATCACTATATCTTTGAACTCCTCAGCTCAAGCGATCCTCCTGTCTCAGCCTCCCAAAGTGCTGGGATTACAGGCGTGAGCCAGCGCATCTAGTCGAGGCCTGTGTTTTCTAAACCCCGATGTTACATTTCAAATTAAGAACTTCACCTTCTAGGCGTCTTTTGCTGCTGCCCAAAAATGAGCAGGTAGGAATGAGCATGAGGAGTGCAAAAGACCTGACGTTGGCATATGCAAGAGGCCAGATGGAGGCTGCTATGTTCAGGAAAAGTGTTCACGGCTGGGAGTGAGCACCAGAAGGAAACAGCATCTCAATTCCTAACCTGGTCTTAGTCTACTAGGTGAGCTGCTGAAGCCTATTTGCTGAAGGAATACCTTCCATGCTTAGCCTCCAATTTTTAGGGCAGGGGTAGGTAGGATATTCTCATCAGTTATGCCAAGAATCTTGTATAGCTTTGATTTCCTGATTATGTGTACAAAATTGTTTAGTTTTTAAACTTTTCCAGTTAAATAAGAAATGAAGAATGTAAAATTTTCACCTTGGCCAAGATTTTCTTGTTATTTCAGGTCCCTAGAAAGCTGAGTATTGAACTTTGCCCCATATGTCAAAAACTCTGACAACATTTACAAATTCTCTCCCTAAAAAGACTAGATCCTGCTTCCTATATTCACTTAGCTATTACCTTAAGAACTGCTAGCAACTGGGCATGTTAACTTTCTAATATCAGGAACAGCCTCTATGTGGCACTGGCTATGTTTATGACTATGCACACCCCTTACACGTGTGTCTCAGTTATAGCTTCTTAAAGTCTTCTCATCATAACTTTAAAATCTAGGATGTTTGCGAATTCTCTTTACTTGTAAAGCTAAACATTACAAAAAAAAGAACTACTTTAGAGACTGTGCTGAATGGGAGCAGATGCCCCTGTTCCCTACCCCACCAGCTGTACTTCTACCTATACTTCCATCACTAGAGTATCCACCTGCTGGATTTGTTTGCTGATGTATCCCTAACACCTAGAACAGAACCTGACACATAGTAGACACTCAGTAAACATTTATTGAGAGGTTGAATGGATCTGATTTTGACCTGTTTTGCCTCCTGCCAGGACCCCATCTGCACTATATGCCCACCCAATGACCAGCATCTCCAGTGCATCCATTTCTTTAGGCCCAACCCATCATGTTTACATTCTGAAGAGAGTCAGTAGAGAGAGTTTTGAAGACACAATAGCGTGCCCTGTACAGTTATCTTCCCAGATCTATCTGTAGTAGATCCATGAGAGTTGATAGTAGACCCATGCATATTAGTGCTTGCTGGGGGCAGAAGGAGAGGTGATGATGCAAGTAAGTACTTCAACCCTAAGTCTGAAAAGTTGATGACTACACAGAATCACTTCACCTAACTCCAACAGAAATATACACAACAGGGTTTGGGAGAAATGAGAGATCTGGAGGCTGGCTAGGTGGAGGAGGCAACACCTGAATTAGGGCTTTAAGCTAGACCTTGAATAATACGTCATGCCATCACACTAACAAACTCACAGCGAGGCTCCCAAATTTTGGGCAAGTGGCCCCCAGAGACTTAGACTTTTAAACCAAAGCCTAATGTTTCACAAAGTCTCCTGAGACAGAATCACTAGCAAGCTTGTAGGACCTTTCCAGAAAAAGGATGTATATGGATTCACACAGACACACATCTACGTGCAGAACGTGCCATTCTGTATTTGATGCATAAAACCACCTTGTCCTGGTCTCAGGGCAGGAACAGTGTCATACAGATCTTTGGGTCTTCACTGCTTTTGCACAGTGGCTCTTAGAGATTAAACTCTTTTTTTCCGAATATTTTATAGGTTTTTTGACATTAAAACGTTAGTCTCATTTGGGTGCGGTGGCACACGCCAGTAATCCTAGTACTTTGTGAGGCGGAGGCAGGAAGATCGCTTGAGTCCATAAGTTGGAGACCACAGTGGGCTATGATCACGCCACTGCACTCCTGTGCCAGCCTGGGTGGCACTGAAAGACCCTGTCTTAAAAAAAAAAAAAAAAAAAGTTAGACTTATGTTCTTTCCTAAGGAATAATATTAGTGTTAGATATTGCCTAATAACTAAGACTACCAATTTTGTATAGAGTATAATACAAGCTAAAAAATACATTCGAAAGACTTTCTGTCCCCAATTTATAAATCCTGGTTAGTTTAGCTAAGTCTGCAGTTGTACTGGGATCAGCAATCCCTCCTTAAATGCAGCAGTATTGTGAGTGTCATAAGGGGCTACCCCAAATCAAAATAATTTTAAAAGCAAACCTCAGCTTGGTCTTTAGTTCCACCTTCTTCCTTGTTCCTTTTCCTTTACCAAGATGGCCGCTCTGTCATTCGCTCCTCATTGGTCGGATTTTCCGCAGGTGCCGATTCTAGCCCCACCTACTAGCTCTCCATTCCAAGTCCTAAATCATTGGGAATGTAATAGACAGACGAGCGGGAGTGGGCGGAACGGGCGCCGGATGTGACGTTTCCGGAACCTCCGAGTGTCATCCGCTGGGAAAGGTGGGGAAGGGTCCCGGGAACGTGGTGGTTCAGGGCCTCCAAGCGTGGTCGGACTCTGAAGGGGAGCGGCCGCCGTGAGTGTGGGGCCTGCAGGCTTCTCTCCCCGAGTCCCCTGCCCGGCTTGCCTCGCTCGAGGTACCCGAAGGCTTCGGTCTCCGCGGGCTGGCGCCTGACCAGCCAGGCCCAGCGCTTCCCTGCCTACTGCGTTTGAAAGATCCCGAAAACCCTGGATGATTGTGCCTGGGGTTGGCAAGTTGGTCTTGAGTGCCTTCAAGAGGGTTCCTCAAACAGTTGTCGATAGAGCCCTCCCCACTGTATATGCCCCCTCCGCTCATTCGTGCTACTTCCTTTCTCCTCCTCGTTTTTCCCCCTCGGTCCTTCACTCCGCCTTTCCCCCCTCACTTGCAGATGCTGCTTCCCCTTTTTGGAATTGCTCAACCGGGTGGTAACCGGCGCCGCTTCCTGGCCTCGGGAGGTGGTTCCTTTCTTAACCCACAAGAACCTCTCCCAAGAGGTACTGAGATGCAACGAGCATCCTCTGTTTCAGTTAACTTTCATGGACTGTGGACTAGGTTTACTAATTACTTGTGGAGGTTTTAGATATGCTTGCGGCTTTCCTAGTCCCTAAAGAGGCCTTGTGAGAGATGGACTATCTCTGCCTCCCTAGTAGTCTTCACGGTTTTTGTGCGCTTAGTAAGGGTGTTTTAGAGGGGAAGCTTTGTGAAAGAATTGTGATCCGAATATTGAAGAGACCTAAAGATGGAATTGACTGAGAGAAGACTTCCCCTGAGGGAAGAGTTGTAGTAGAAAAGAAAAACTGGTTAGACAAATGAAACTGAAATGTGAGGATGCCTGGGCAGATTGGAATCCTGACTGAAGCAAAAGATCTCTGTTGGGGAGGGCCAGTTGCCGGGCTTTGAATTCCAAGATTTATTCTACTGTAGTTTGTATATTCTAGAGCATACTGATTAGGGTCTGATGTAATGCAATGTGTGTCAAATGCCCAGATTTATTTTGGAGATGACAGTGGCCATATCTGGTTGGAATTTGGAATCTGATTGTAACAGCAACTATATCTAGAAAGACTAGAATTACTGGAGTTTCGGGACCCCAGGGGTTTTTGCAATGCAAGTTACCATCGTGCCTTTTTGTTATTCAGAGTGTTTAGTCTATGAAAATGAGTAAATGTTTTCAAGATTCAAATCCCTTGCCATGATAATGATAAATGAATGATTTTATAGATTGACTATAGTAGTTTAGTGAGCAGAGTTACAATTATGAGCATTAATTCCCAGACCAGTTCCCCTAACTCACCTTGCGCTCAAATATGAAAAAGGACACCACAGAAGATGTCAGTTACTCTCAAATTAGATAAAAATGGTCAACCTTGAAGTCAGTGAACAATCCTCACGAAAGTTCACTGAGTGGGTACTGGGGTGGAGGTATGTGGGTATCTGGAAGGAGAAATAATAGAAAATAAAAGATGCTGTTCCCACTCTTACAGTGCTGTGGGTAGAGTCACTTGATGGCAAGAATTTGATTAACTTGAACTGAACTTTTGGTTGGCCCACTGTGGTTCTACTTCTTATAACACCTAATTATGGCACAGGGGTTGTACGTTTTCAAGTCTGCCAGTCCTCTCATTGTTATGATTTGGACTTCCTTGAAGGTCTCAGCCTTGTAGGAAAGTCCTTATTTAATAGGCACCACAGCATTTGGTATGTTTCTCTTATACTTTCTTCTTAAGATAGAGGTCTGTGAGATAAACTGTAAGACTGTGCTGAGATGATGGGGGCAATGGTATTGATGCCATCTGTTTTTTCTGTCTCAGAACTTGGTCCTGATGTCTGACCATGGAGATGTGAGCCTCCCGCCCGAAGACCGGGTGAGGGCTCTCTCCCAGCTGGGTAGTGCGGTAGAGGTGAATGAAGACATTCCACCCCGTCGGTACTTCCGCTCTGGAGTTGAGATTATCCGAATGGCATCCATTTACTCTGAGGAAGGCAACATTGAACATGCCTTCATCCTCTATAACAAGTATATCACGTAAGACACCTACAGTTTCCTTTTTCCTTTCTGGTGACTGGTGCCTTGCCTATTTGGCTCAGAATTGCTAAAACCACAGAACTTCACAATATCATCAACATTAATCATTTTTGCTGGCAACTCCTACATATTGGCTGTCCTTGCCATTCAAAGACATGAGTGCTGAAGGTGTTATTTTCATGACTCAGTAATTTATGAGTAAGAGACTTAGTTCTTTGGCCTATGCCCACATAGCCCAGCTGTTAGACAAAAGAGTTGGTGGTTAAACTAGACATGTTATGTACTGATGAATGCTTTTACTGTTCTCTTTCTACTAAAGCAGCCAATCATAGGATTATTGTTGGGGTCTAGCAAAGCCAACATTCCTCACTTGTACTTATTTTGTAGCAAATTTAGTGATACAGGAAAAAATTTTTTCCTCTTAACCTTTATCATAATCATGCAAATCATCAAATAATTAGTAACTGCCTACAGTTTGTGTGACTCATCATAATAAGACCTTTCCCTTGAGTTGTTTATCATCTTAGGGTGAGCAGCATAAGTAGAAGATTTCAGTACTATTAACAGCAAACAACTTCTAAAACTCCATTGACAATGAAATGATACGTAATTTAGAAAGGGAATAATGTTAAAGGTCTTATTTATCATTTCTAATCTTGGTCTTTCACAATACCAGAACTTTAAAAAAAATGATTACAATGTATTTGGTTCTTAGTAGCTCACAGTGTATTTCACCTGCATAATTTCATTGGATCTTCACAGTTCTGTATGCATGAAATAGGGCACACTACCCTACATTCTACATATGAGGAAACAAACTCAGTGTTTGGTGATATGCTTATGTTTGAAGTGACAAAACCTTGGTTTTCTGACTCCTAATTCAGGATTTGTTCTACAACATAGGTCCTGTTCTTCTTGTTTTCCATTTAGTAATGTTCTAGAGTCAGAGGTAGTCTTTTGAGATCATAGTCATGAGTCATACTGGCTATTTTTTGTTTTTTTATTTTACTACTGATTTTTGAGTAGGTAACATATATATAGTACAGAATTCAGAGGCACAAAAGAATAATTATAGTTAAAAAGTAAGTCTTGGCCAGGTACAGTGGCTTTCGCCTGTAATCCCAGCACTTTGGGAGGCCAAGGTGGGCAGATCACCTGAGGTCAGGATTTCAAGACCAGCTTGGCCAACATGGCAAAACCCCGTCTACTAAAAATACAAAAATTAGTCGGGCATGGTGGAATGCGCCTGTAATCCCAGCTACTTGGGAGGCTAAGGCAGGAGAATCGCTTGAAACCAAGAGGCAGATGTTGTAGTGAGCCGAGATTATGCCACTGCACTCCAGGACTCCAGACTAGATGGCAAAGCAAGACTCTGTTTCAAAAAAAAAGAAAAAAAAAAAAGTCTCCCCACACACTCCTCTTTCCCCCCAAACCCTTGGTTCTCCTCCCCAGAGACAATCACTCTTAGTAGTTTCTTAGATATCTTCCAAGAGATGATACACATATACCAGTTTTATCACATTAAGTTTTTGATCACATACTCCTCTAAAGCAGGGCTTTTCAATTTTGGCCCTATTGGCCTTTTGGACTAAATAATTCTTTGTGGTGGGAGCTGTTCTGTGTGTTACAGAATGTTTAGCAGCATCCTTGGTTTCTGCTCACTAGATGCCAGTATGCCCCCTCCCAACAGTGTGACAACCAAAAATGTCACCAGACATTATCTGATGTTCTCTGAGGGGCAGAATCACCTCTGTTTGAGAACCAGTGCTCCAAACAAAAGTATGTGGAAGAGTGGACTGTCTAGGATTCATATTGTAATTGTAGAGTGGAGAAATGGGACGGCTATTGTCTTTTTTATTTAGAATTGTTGCCTGTGTTAGGAGGAGAAAACCTTAGACAAGTTAAATTTAATAGAGTTTAATCCAGTAGAAAAAGGTTCAGGGAACACTCAGGACCAAAAGTGGTGCAGAATGTTCCACCTCATAGTGGAGGTTGTGCAGGTTATATTTATAGTCAGAGAAAAGGAAATGAGATACAGAAATAGCCTGATTGGCTACAGTTCTGTGTTTGCCTTATTTGGTCAGGTTTTGGCAGCCTTTAGCCTCCGATTGGCTGGAGGTTTCAGCTGCTATGATTGGCTGAGACTCAGCTATTTGTTGTACTTGTAACCTAACTCTTACATTAAGTTACAGTTTGTTTATACATTAAGTTAGGTTACAGTTCACTATCTTCGGAGGCAGCTTTAATTTAACACCTGTTTCCTTAAAGATCTGTAGTTCTGTAATGCCATTATGCCATGTCATGTGGCCTCAGTGTTGTTAAGGTTTCACAGAATTATAATTATATTTCTGCTTCTCTTTGCTATTAGGAGTTTTTCATTCCTAGGCACACGATTTATTTTCCTGAGCAGTTTTTTTTACTCTGTCCTCTTTATATACTCTACTACTGGTAGAAAGAATATTCTTATGTATTTCCTATAAGCTTGTAGATTGTTCTCTCAGAATGAAACCCAGGGGCACAATTCCTTTGGAGAAACACTAATTCAGAAAGTTCAGTAGGATCGTGGAATCACTCTACCAGGTATTTTCTGAAGGTCCTTCAGAATCCTTTTGCTCCACAATAGAAAGGGCTTTCAGGGCAAAGACCATATTCATTCAGTACATATGTATTGAGTATACCTGCTATCTGCATGGCACTGCAGTAGGTCCTGGACAGCAGTGAGTAAAATGGCCCCTGTCCTTATTGGTGTTCCTTTATAGGTATGGGAGAAGACAATAAACAGCAAATAAATACTATTGACCCTTGAACAACACAGAGGTTAGCACCAATCCCCCATGCAATCAAAAATATACATAGTGCTGGGCGCAGTGGCTCATGCCTGTAATCCCAGCACTTTGGGAGACCGAAGTGGATGGATCACTTGAGGTCAGGAGTTCAAGACCAACCTCGTCAACATGGTGA